TTCATGTGTCCTGGACACCTGGGTTCTTGGGGAAGGGGAGGGGTTGAATATGTAGACTGGTCTATACGTGAATGTATAGACTGGGGTGGGAACCATATGGAGTAAACGACATGGGCCTGGCTGTCCAGGGGGGTGGAAAGAGATCACGGGTTATGGGGGATATATACCCCTGGGTGTCTGTGTGGACTGGCAGGGTCTTGGGGCCGATTTCAGGGGGTCCCTGCTGTGCTGAGCAGACAGCTGTGAGGTGGAGGGCTGGGTATAATACCTGGCACTATGCTCCCCCCACCCCTCCATGGGCCCTCCTAGCCCTTCTCTATGGCTCTGGCCTCCATGTAATCCAGGCTGGTGCAGAACCCAGACTCCGAAGAGAAACAAGGGGCCCAGTTTCCTAACTGGGGCGATCCTGGGATCAGTTCCCCCCCCCCCCCCCCCCCACAGGGTCTTGGTGTGGAGACTCAAGCCATAGCCCCCAAATTTGAGACCCTGCCCCTTCCCTCATTTCCTAGGTGACAAATGGCATCAAGTACTTCCTGGATGTGACCCTGCTGCGGGGACCGTGTGATCTGGTCTCCTGCGGGGAGCTGGAGCAGGTGGTAAGGAGTGGGCAGCGGGCTGGGGGGCAATTCTCTGCTGGGCAGGAGACTGGGAGAACCGTTGACTTGCTTTTCACCCTGGAATCCGAGGTGCCCAGGTCCTTATGGCTCCCCTCTGCCATGTGTCCTAGTCCCTGTACTGCAGGCACTGGGCAGAGATTGTCCTCTGAGTGGGAGTGGAGAGATCCCAGGCTTAGCTTGGTGGCACTGGGAGCCCCTATCCCTATCCCGAAAGCCTCATGCTAGCACGGTTGCCCCCAAAGCATGCTGGGAGATGAGCCGGCTGTGACCCCAAGCCAGGACTGGGGCTTTCCCTTGTGAGCTCAAGGAGAGCTGCCACTGAGTGTCCATCATATGGGATCTGTGGCACATGGTGGCTCAGTTGGGATTTGGGTCACAAGGCAGTGGCATGTGTTTACATGTGTGTGGGTTCATGGAGAGGAAGCAGAACTTAGGTCCTGGTGGCTGCATCTGAAAGCAGGGGAGGGAAAGCAGAAGGTGCGGGGAGCCCAGGAGTTCAGCGCCCCACTGAAGCTTCCCCATGGTGCCCCCGTGACCTGGCCGTGGCCCAAGTTGGGATCTCCTGACCAGCTTCCCCTGGATCAGCTGAGTCTCTTGTGATCACTCAGCCAGTCAACTGGCAGGGAGGGGGAGGCAGAGTAATCTCCCTGCCCCCCTCAGCACCCGGCTGAGGCGTGTGACCAGCTTCCCCATCCCCTGGCAGGGCTCAGATGTCTGGTCCGTGTCACATGAGCACTGAAAGCCAGATCTTGGAATCCAGGTGTCTCCTAGCATCCCCTGCTTTCATCCTCACTCCCCTTGTGGAGCTGCAGAGAACCCAGACTTCCGGGCTCCCATCCCATCTGCTCTTAAGCCCCTTCTAAAGCTAGGGATGGAACCCAGGCATCCGGGATCCCAGCCCCCCCCCCCC